GGCATTGTGCTAGGCCACAAGATTTCGAGCAAGGGGATTGAGGTCGACCGAGCTAAGGTCGAAGTGATAGAGAAGCTGCCACCTCCACGGAATGTTAAGGGAATCCGGAGTTTTCTGGGACATGCCGGGTTCTACAGGAGGTTCATCAAGGACCGATGAAGCTCAAAAGGCTATAACTGAGATGAACGGAAAGGTCAAGCACTAAATTCATATGATATGATGCTTCCTCCTTAAAACATGATCTAACCGAAACTTGGAGAAGTAACAAGTATATTTTCTATTGCAGCAACTAAACGGGCGGGTTATATTCGTCGGCTATGCTAAGCCGAAGCAAAGTTTCAGAAGCGGGATGCCGATCGCAAGAGGACCACCTCACCCCGTGGTGGCAGCTGACAATGACAATGACAATAAAGATGACAATGACGACGAAATCACAAACAAACAGGCAAGAGAATTGGAGTGAGGTTAGAGTATTATGGCAGTGAAACCTCGAAACCCTTAAGGCCGTAGAACTATACTACACCCTTTTCGCCATTTCTTGCGAGCGATTAACGGTTGTAGATTCTTATGAACCGCGATTTCGGAATGCAAGAAGGATGAGTAGTTTAGTTGTGTCCGCCATGCAAAGGAACCAGTATCCAATCCTTTTGGGGACATGACATTGTTGTTCAGTCTTTGTTCCTTCTTCTCCCTACTGTCTTCCCAATGTGAATTAATCACCTTTTTTTTTGGGGATATCCATAAAAAAGATGGTGAAATTAGGGCTTTTCCACTTTTCAAGGGAATGCTAACCGACGGGATGGAGATTGAAGAAAGAGCATATGATATAATAAACACTTTTCGATTAGTTCTATAATCTCCCTTGTGTTCGGTTGTTTCTTTGTTTCACTAAGTGTCCTGTGTTGAAGACCAAGACTTGGGACACTAACTAAAAATAAACAAAAAAGTTTTTTTTTCTTTATCTCAGTATGTAATTTAAAACTGATATAAATTTATGGATTATTTAGATATTTTGTATAAATTATGGTTTACTTGGATATTTAATGATAATTAATGGATTTTTTATATCGAATATATTTTATTTGATTATGTTATCTATTTGTTTTTTATATTGATCAATATATGAAACTAAATTACTCTATAATTACTACCATCTAGATAAACCCAAATTGAAATAATAATAAAAATTATTATGTGGTATGATATTAAGTATCAAGTAAGGTATTTTATCTAATAATTCCAATAATTTAGGGTTTATGGGATCGTTGTGGGCAAAGGGGTTTGAACATGCATTTGGGTTTTTTTTTTGTTCACAATTTAGCCCAAACCCAAATGGAGCTTTGAGCCGCCGGTGGAATCATTGAGAGTTTGAGACTGTGACCGGAGCTGTGAACTGTTCATCGGACACTGTAACAGTCTCTTCCCGTCCGCGAAGATGAAGCTGAAGGTTGTCTGTCGGAAAGTCTACGATTACGTTCGGTACGATCTCAAGGAAATCGCCTTCCCTTCCTCGCTCCCCGATCCTCCTCACATCAAGAAGCGCCGCAAGTTGACTTGGAACGAGCGGTTTCTCGTGAGTTTCCCGCTCTTCTTCCTACAGATTTCTCTTCGTTTGATCTGCTTCGCTTCTGGATTTTCGAATTTTGCTCTTCCGGTTTAGAATTTCGTTGGCTCTCCGTGCTTTTTCTCTTCTGGTATATGCTTTATAGTATCGGCTTCTGGAGAATCTGATTTGTTTGGACCTTTAACCTCTGTCGGAAATTGCTCTTATTAGTGTTAGTATAGAGATGGATGTCATTCAAGTGCTGTCAAAGAGTTCATATGATGTTGTATGATCGAGAATTTGATGCATATTGTGGAAATTTGGCAAAATCAGACACTGGATCACTTGGTTGTGGCTTTTACGGCCTGAATGAGTGACAAAGATTGCTTCTTTTCTCTCTGCCGAAGCTTAGAGTGGGGATTGGACTTTACAAATCATAGATGCTTCCATTGTAATTGAGTTCATAATTTGCTTGGTTCTTATGGTATGAGGAAACGAGAAATTTTGGGATGCTTTTTTTTTTTCTTTTTGTCGTCGTAAAGATTTACCCGAAAGGAGAAAGCTTCAGGGTTCCGCATTCTTGCATTTGGAATCCTGATTATGTTTGAAGGGGTACCCGAAAGGAGAAAGCTTCAGGGTTCCGCATTCTTGCATTTGGAATCCTGATTATGTTTGAAGGGGATATATAGGTAATAGGTTTTGGTTTCAGGGATTGTAGGAGTATGTGTAATTTCGAGAATGACTTTTCTCATATTTTAAGAGAAGCTAGTGCTTGTTTCCTTTGAATAGAACCATCTAATGCTACACATTGAGCGATAGCTTTTTTGGTTTTATGATGGGTTAATTAGATATTAAAGGAGGCTTCTAGGCTTTATGCTGCAAGTTGGGTTCGAGATATAGGTCCTGAGCTTCGGCCAAATGATTATAAGAAGCATGAGGAACATGAGGCGAAAAAAGAAGTTAAAGAGAACGAGCCCTCGGTCTTGGAAGATCTCGGTAAGGCCTGTTATTGTTTTGTTTACTGCTCTCGAAAGTTAAGCCTATACTGAGTGAGATTTGGGGATAGTAAGTTTGTAACAGCATATCCATTTTAAACTGTACTCATTTCAGCACATCTCATTGTCTTAGTCTGTTTTCTATCTTGCATTCTTTTATTGATTCTCTCTTGGCTTTGTTCTCTCCCTTTTTTTCCACAGCGGTAGCTGCAAGGGGTGGTATGGAGACGTTAAGGCCTGCTTTACAGCGAATATACATGACACGAGCTTCTGCCTATAGAGATGCTCTTAAAAGCTTTATACAAGGTTACCAAGAGGGTGTTCAACAAGTTATGGAGAAGAAGGAAGACTCCAAAATCACATCAGATGAAGCTGATAACTCAAAGAAAGCTACTTGATCTTGGATTCTTGGTTGCATGAAGAATCCAAGAAATCAGTTGATGATGCAGCCTTTTACATTAAGACGACCTATTTGTCAAGTATCTCATGTTAATACCTTAAACAAACCTCTCTTGCTCAAGATTACTTTTGATCCGTACCCTTGCGGTATTCGCTGTATCTAGGATTTTTATTACTTGAGCTTATTTACACACCTAGATTTGCGTTATCAACCACCAAACCTCAAGATTCACCAAACTTACACCAAAATTCTCCACAGGCGTCGGTGACACAGGGGAGCAAACCCTCGAACTCACCTAAGGCTGTGCAGCCGAAATTTTCCTTTGATTCTGAAGATCAATTCATACTCGAGGCACAACGAGTATTGAGAACGCGGTCCTCCTCAACCTCTCGGGATTTCCAGGACTTCACAGTGGTCCAGAAAACTCCAAGGGGGAGAGGGAAGCAACAGTAAAGCAGAAACTCCAGGCATTTTGGTATTTTGGATTTTGGTATTTTGGAATGACAACTCATGAAAGTCTTTTGCTGGAATATAAGGGGAATAAATGGAACTACAAAACAACGTGCTGTCAAGGAGTTGATCCGCAACCATCAACTATTGATAGGCGGTCTTATCGAAACAAGAGTGCGAAACGAGAGCACAGCAGCTCAAATCTCTTGCTCTATAGCGCCAACTTGGAAGCTCGTACACAACTACTCATGTGCACAGTTGGGTCGAATATGGGTAATTTGGGATTCATCAGTGTCAGTCAATGTATATGCTGTCACACCTCAAATGATCACTTGTGGTGTTCACGTCCCAGCCACGAACACGTATTTCACAGCCTCCTTTGTGTATGCTTACAACACTTCATCAGAGCGTCGACAACTATGGCATGAACTGACAGTCCTTGCTCGGCATCCGCTTGTCCCAGATAGGCCATGGCTAGTGCTTGGTGATTTTAACCAGGTTCTAGGGCCTAAAGAACACGCCTCGCCGACCACTGCTTTCTCCCCGTCCACGGGTATGGCGGAAATCCAGGATTGTCTGTTGAAATCGGGTCTTATGGATCTCTCGGCTCGAGGAGTCTTCTATACTTGGTCGAACTGCAGCAAAGACAACCCGATTGCGCGGAAACTGGACCGAGCTCTTATAAATGAATCTTGGCTTATGTCGCTCCCTGACTCCTTTGCTCTCTTTGAAGCCCCGACGCCTTCTGACCATTCAGCATGTGTAGTTCACTTGGGCGACACGGGAAGACAGAATCGGAGGACTAGTTTCAGATTCATGTTGCATCTAATCAAACATGAATCCTTTCCTTAACTAGTTCACTCTTCCTGGCACGACACTCCTGTGGTTGGGACTGGCATGTACTCGGTGTCAGCAAAGCTCAAGCGCCTCAAACCTATCCTCCGACGACTAAACAGAGCTGATTTCAGCAAGATTCAAGAGCGGTCCGCCCATGCTCTTCTGGCCCTAAAAGAAGCCCAGAAATCACTGTTGACAAACCACTCTCTGGAGATGGCGGCACTTGAAGCAAGGCTGAGGGAGACTTGGTCTATTCTATCATCTGCTGAGGAAACTTTCCTCAAGCAGAAGTCTCGTATTCGATGGCTAGCGGAAGGCGATCAGAACACGAAATTCTTCCATCGTGTTGTAGCTTCTCGACGAGCAACTAATACATTGCGTTTACTTGTGACTGATGCAGGCGAACGAGTATATAACGAGGGGCACATCAAACAATTGGCAGTTGAGTACTATGAACGCATCTTGGGGACCGAAAATGATCTCCTTCGATGTTGGCCAACCCAACAAATTGAGGAGCTTATTCCCACAGCTTGCCCTCGAGATTTATGGGAGACCTTAAGCTCTATCCCTACCGCTGATGAGATTAGAGCCACTGTCTTTGCCCTGCCAAAGGGCAAAGCACCGGGCCCTGACGGATACCCAGCTGAATTCTACACCAACTGCTGGGAAATCATCGGATCGGACGTCACCTCGGCAGTTCGCGAGTTCTTTACCTCGGGAAAGCTGCTCGGCAAATGGAACTCCACGTCGATTACGCTCATTCCCAAGGTTAAGAATGTTGTCCACCTGAAGAACTTCCGGCCAATCTCTTGCTGCAACACATCATATAAGATAATCTCTCGAATCTTGGCAAACAGACTTCGCAATGTACTACCTTTGGTTACAAGCCAAACACAGACCACTTTTATCCCGGGAAGGGCTCTTATCGAGAATGTCATGCTAGCTACTGAACTGGTGTCGGGTTATGATCGTAGTGGACTGCCCCGACAAGCACTTCTTAAGGTTGATCTTACAAAGGCGTTTGATACTATCCATTGGCCTTTCATCATTAGAATTCTATGGGCGATGCGATTTCCTCCGGTTTTCATCAATTGGATCTACCAATGCATTACAACACCGTCTTTCTCTCTATCCATCAATGGAGAGAGTGTGGGTTATTTCAGAGGAAAGAGGGGACTTCGTCAAGGAGACCCATTATCTCCGTATTTGTTCGTCATGGCTATGGATATCTTGTCCCGTATGCTCAGTCACCGTGTGGAACAAGGAGCCATTACTCTGCCACCGAGGTGTCGTCACCCTCAAATCTGCAGTCTCATGTTCGCTGATGATGTTCTCGTTTTTTCAGAATGTTCAAGGGTCTCTCTGACAGCAATCATCGAAACCTTTGACAGCTTTTATCTCACCTTAGGCCTTCAATTAAACAGATCCAAGACAGCCCTCTTTACGGATGGAAATCGTGATGATATTGTTGAGTCCTTGACAGCCGATTTGGGGATTAATTGCTCCAAACTTCCGGTTCGTTACTTGGGATTACCACTATCAGGCAAGAGAATTACGAGCCGTGATTGCAGCCGACTTACAGACTGTGTACGAGGTAAACTATTCTCTTGGACATCCAAGCACCTCTCTTTTGCCGGGCGACTACAGTTGATCAAATCGGTTATCTATAGTATTCTAAATTTCTGGGCATCAGCTTTCTTATTACCTCGGCACTGCACCAGGGAGGTCGAGCAACTATGTTCGGCTTTCTTATGGACCGGCGCCCCGGGCCCGGCCAAGGGTGCAAAGGTTTCGTGGGACTCGGTGTGTACACCTAAAGCCGCTGGAGGACTGGGACTTAGGAGATTGGCCGAGTGGAACATAATACTTTCTCTCCGACTCATCTGGCTCCTTTTCACGAAGAGTGGCTCTCTGTGGGTAGCCTGGGTGAACCATCATCTCATTGGTGGAAAATCATTCTGGGATTTGGTTCCGACGGCTAGGGGAAGTTGGGCTTGGCGCAAACTGCTCAAAATTCGCGAAACCGCTAGACCTTTCCTCAGATGCAAACTAGGGAATGGTGAGAAATGTATGTTTTGGTTGGATTCTTGGCTGCCGCAGGGACCACTCATCAAATTTATTGGTGAAGGCGGCCCCCGACAGTTGAGAATACCCCGGGATGCTCGCGTCTGTGTTGCTTTTAATCATGAAGGCTGGACTCTACCACCGGCACGAAGTATGCAAGAGGAGGCCCTTCACTTCACCTTGTTGCAGATTGGATCCCCCTCATCTACTGCAGGAAATGACTCTTTCGATTGGTCTCCGACGCATCGGACAGAGGGGCACAAGCCTTTCACCACTGCGATGGCATGGAGGTTGATTCATCATGCACAACTACATGTTGCATGGTATAAAACTATCTGGTTTGCAAATGCTGTCCCCAAACACTCTTTTATTTCTTGGCTTGCAGCAAGAAATAGGCTACCGACAAGGGATCGCATGACGGCTTGGGGTCTAAATGTCCCGACCACCTGTATGTTGTGCGACGCGGATTCGGAAACCATAGACCATCTCTTTTTCACTTGTGATTACAGCAATGACATATGGCGTGGGTTGTTGCGATCCTCGACTATACGATGTCCGACACTATACTCCCTTCATGACAATCTGGGTTGGGTTAGTTCTTGCTGCACCAACGTCTGCCTTAAGCTAATGGTGCATCTACTCCTACAAGCTGCAATCTATTTCATTTGGAGGGAAAGAAACTCCCGTCTGCACAATGATGAATCGCGGCCGGCAGGGCTCCTTGCGAAAGAGATCCTAAGCTCGACACGACGTAGACTTTCCAGCATCACCAAGGACCTTCAGCGAAGCCCACTTGATGACTCGATACTTACCATTTGGTTCCGTTATTTTGAACGACTGTAACTCTCATGTTTGAGTCTTCTGCCTGAGTTTCTGTAACTGCTTTTCTGCCTGGTATGCCAAGGCTTCTTGTACGTAAACGAGGTTAATTTAATATATTTACGGTTAACAAAAAAAAAAAGCATGTGTGATGGTGGTATTGGTTATGTGGTAACCTGTTTTCTCTATGTACGTGGCAGACCTTTCCAAACCAAAGTCTATGGCTGGCTAAGGATGAAGCAATTTAGGATTTGGGAGAGATTTGAGAGTTAGAAAGGCTGAGAATAACACCTTGAGTTTGAGAATTGTGAGAATGAGAGAACGACATAAGAATGGACATTGAATCTCCTTCATTATTTTATTGTATTCCAACGTGATACATAGGAAATTAAAATTTTAGTTTTTGTATAATTTTGTTAAAATTTTAACGAAAAATATAGGATCTCATTCATTGTTATACTAATCGTGTGTGTGTATATATATATATATATATATATATATATATATATATATATAAACATAATAATATACCTCCCATTCTGTTTTTTTCCATTTTCTCTAAAAAATTAGGTGACGCATCACCTTTTTTTACTCTTAATTCTACATCTACTTTTTAATATTTCAATTCTCTAAAAAACATCCACAAATCTAATATTGAATCATAATAATATAGATATAATAATATAGACAATAAAAAACAGTTAAATTAAAGGTATATAAATATTATGATTTTTTAAATAATTTAATTTTTTGTTTATTCATCAGTTTTTATATTTTGATCACATTTATAATTTTTTTTAATATATTCTTGTATTTTATTTGATAGAAAAATTTATAAACAAAATTCTCAAAAAAAATTTTACATCGATATCTCAAGATAGTGATAAAATTTCAATCAACAATATATTAAATTTTAATATTCCTCTATACCTAAACAAATTTATTTGGATGATTGTCT